GCACAATAATGTGGATATATTAACACTAATGAACTATGCACTTAAGAACGTGAAAATGCTAAATTTTATTACGTGCATTTTACCAGAATGAAAAATTTACAAAACTGAAAGAAAAATCACACAATCATACATACAGACACAACAAACATTAATAATATAAATTTTCAGCAAAGTAGGAATAGAAACTTCCTCAAATTATAAAAAGCATCTACCAACTACTATATAGTTAAGGTCATACTTAATAGTGAAAGCCTAAAGTACTTCCCCCTTCCTATCAGTGACATGCAAGTTCATCTGCTGTCATTATTCTTGTTCAGCATAATACTGGAAATTCTAGCCAGTATAATAAGTCCAAAAAAGGAGAGGAGAGGGGAGCAGAGGGAAGGGGAAAGACAGACAAAAATACAAAAGGCACACAGACAGATTGGAAATAAGAAATAAACTATCCTTGTTTACAGATGACCTGATTGTCTATGGATAAAGTCCCAAGAATTCTACAAAAATAAATCTCACACAATTTAAAAATGACCTTAACAGGTTCATAGGATACAAGTTCAACACCTACAGAAAACTCAGTTACTTGTCTATTTATGAGATGTGAAAATGGAAATTAAAAACACAATTATGATTCCAAAGAAAAGGAAACACTTAGGTACAGTCTATCAAAACACACACAGTAAAAATGCTGATAAAAAACATCTCATAAGACCTAAGTAAGTAGAGAGGTTTACGGCCATTGAATGGCAGGAATGACACTGTAAAGATGTACATTTCTGCAAAATGATCCACAGGTGTAATGCAACTCTGGTTAAACTCTCGACAAGACTTCTTTTGTAGACATAGAGCAGTTTTAAGTTCATAATATGTGTTTTACTTTCCCACCAACAGTACAAAAAATTCCCTTTCTTCCACATCTTCAACACTAGTTATCTTTTTTATTGATAACAGCCATTCAAACAGATGTGGTTGTGACTTTAACATGCATTTCTCTGATTATTGACGCTGAACATATTTTATGGAAAACAATGTAGAGACTCTTCAAAACATTAAAGACAGAACTATCATATGATCTAACAATGCCACTTCCAGGTATATTTCCAAAGGAAATGAAATTATTATATCTAAGAGATATCTGTTCTCAGAATACAGTATCTAAGAGAAAGCTGTGTTGTTGACTGTAGCACTATTCACAATATTGGAGATCAACCTATGTGTCCATTAACTGATGAATGGGTAAAGAAATGTGGTAAAGGGCTAGGGATGTAGCTCAGTGGTAGAGTGCTTGCATAGCAAACGCAAGGCCCAGAGTTCAATTCCCAGTACCACACACAAAAAAGTGGTAAATATACACAATGGAACACTATTCAGCCTTAAGAAAGAAAATCCTGACATTTGCAACACCATGAATGGGTTCAAAGAATATGCTAAATGAAATAATCCAGACACAAATTATATCTTGCTGCTTCTTTTATTCCCATTCCTCTCCCCTTCCCTCAATCCCTCTCTCCTCTCTCCTTATTTACAAAAGCTTTGTTTCCATTTTTTACGGGGGGCGGGGTTTCTGGTACCGGGAATCAAACTCACGACCTTGTGCTTGCCAGGCAGGTGCTGTGCTGCTGAGCTAAATCCCCAGCCCCTTCCTTCTATTCTTTCTTCTTGTTCCTTTGTTCCTTCTCCCCTCTCCCATCCCTTGTCTCCTTTACTTCTCAATTCTACCTCAATAAAAATGGAAAGAAAGTATGATGAGAGTTAAAAAAAATCAACATGAACATAGAATAACAATAGTAGCTGGGAAGGGAGACAGATAAAGGGAGGACAGATTTGATCAGTGCATGGTATATTCATAAAAATATCACACTGAACAACATTAATATGCACATTTGATACATTAATCAAACATAAAATATAATGAAAAATGGGAAAATTAGTTGATTTTCAAATTATAATGTACTTGATAAAATTCCCTTTCAGATATTTTTGCTTTACTTGTAAATAATGATTTATAATTTTAAACTGACAAGTTTGTATAAATCGATTGTATATAAAAAAGGATGGGAATAGAAAGTTACCTCTGTATAATAAGCATGACAATAATTGAATGAGGATGAAGAATTGATACGAAAACTAATATTAATATGATTCTAAAATTGGCATCATATGCATGGCTAACATTCCTAGAGAGTCTAAGCAAATCAGGCTCACTTTTGTGGTTTTTCTTTAATCTGTTCCCAACTTTTACTTGTTCCTGTTACCCTTTGGGGCCTCCAGTCTATCCTGTCTGTATCTTTCACTTGTTCTTTTCCCTTCCAAACCAAAATTAATGTAATCAACTACGTTTGCACAGGAGCTCCTTTGCAACTTGATGCTATGACAAAGATGGTACAACTTAGGGCCAAGTCCCAGATTGAGAAGCTATTCCAGTGCAAGCCTTCCCTTGTTCTCATGCTATTGAACAAGTCCCACCTACTCTATGACATCCATCCAACTATCCAGAGAACTTTCTCTTTTCCAGGTCTCTGCTGGACATACATTATTTTGAAAATACATGGGCTTGCAGATGTCTTGTCCTGGAAATGCACGTATCACTTACACACAGGCCAGAAACAGTCATATGCACAACAGTAAAAGTGTCTAGGCAATGTAGGGGAATGTGTGATTCGAATTTGTCAAATACTTTATTTCATTGTCTACTTTTATAGATGAGTATACTTGGACTCAGAGAGGCAGAGATACTTGCCCAGTGACACACCAGTGGAAAAAGATGAAATGGAACCTAGGACTTCTTGCCAATGCAAATAAAAGTTTCATTAGGAAGACGTCAGAGACTCACAGAACTGGAGAAAGATGGGAAAAAGTAACTTGAGCACTGGATAGGAACTGAAACACAAAGACAGTAACAGTCCAGTCAGGATGCTATTCTGAGGATAACAATCACATACATCATAGTTTAAACTCTGTCAATCACGTAAGTTTCAAAATCCAAGGAAAGAACACATAACTAAGTAAATTGCATGCCTGCCCTGTGACAATACCAGGGGGAATAATATGGTGTACCGTTTCGATAGGTGTATACAAACATCTGTACATGTCTTTGTACAAAGACATTTTTGTTTTCTATTAATATTTTAAAAAGTATCACAAACTGAGTGTCTTAAACAACACTCATTTTTAGTCTCCTACTTACTGTAGGTCAGAAGTCCAGGCATGGCTTGGTTCCAGGTTCTCTGTTCAGAAAAGTGTTGACAGGGCTACATTTCTTTCCGGGGCCTCAGGGAAACTACTTCCACTGTCATTAAAATTGTTGGCACAGCTGCTGTCCCTGCAGCTGGAGGTCTGAGGTCCTGGTTTCTTTGCTGGCTATCAGCTAGAGGCCTCATTTAGCTCAGAGGCTACCCATGGGTTGTTCTTTTCCAAGGCGGCAAAGTGGAATTCATCTGCCTGAATGTGGAGGCCATAAGGGGCTGGGGATTTAGCTCATGGGCACAGAGCCTGCCTGGCAAGCGCAAGGTCGTGAGTTCGGTTCCCGGTACCAGAATAAAACAAACAAACAAAAAATGTGGAGGCCATGAACACACACCAGTAGAAACCTGAGGTAGGTGACAGACTCTGTATCCAAACTGGCTATGAACATATGGTGAAAGCTGCCTCGCCCACAGAAAGGCCACCTAGCCCCATAGATCCTCAGTGGGATCAATCAAAAGAACAATCATCACCCAGAAAAGCAGGAATCACAACCCAGGCCTGGGCCACCAGAGACACAGGGCTAGTACAATCCCCTGCCACAAAGGTTTCAAGAGATTTTCCCAGGCCTGCTTGCAAAGAGTTAGGAACCAGACTGGCTCTTAGAAAGATTCCTTATAATAAGGATAAGAAACAGAGGACGGCTGGGGCCCATTACTCCTTCCAATCAAGGGCTTTCTCTTCCCAGAATATGGACATTACCCAGGAACCCAAGGAAGCTCTGGACACTGATTTTGCCCTTTATTGAGCCTTTTCTAAAAGGTAACATTGCCTTTGATCTTGCATTTTTTTCTACCCCAGCTCTTCCCTCCATCCTTGTCCATATGTTCAGATTAACACCAAGCTCCTAAAGATGTCGGAGTCAAGGCCTAATTTCAGCCTCGGTAGGAGAGTCTTAACTTCTAGGATAGATCTCAGTAGTTCAAGCCAAGTCCCTGCTGTTTATGGTCCTAACCAAAGGCTGCCTAGCTTTGCATGGAGCTTTGTCTTACTTTCTTAATCCTTGTTCAGTAGCAACAGAAGCCCCTCTTTTGCCCTGCAGAAGAAGCTACTGTGAGGCCTTCTTCACTCTCCAACAAAACCCTGTCTCTGGTCCTATGGAAGCAGAGCACTGTGAGGGTGTCCTAGAGGGACAGGGTCTCATGCTGCATTTCCAGACTACAGGGATAGGTTCTCGTGGTGCATTTCCAGAAATAGGGAGGACGTGTATGTAAGAGCCTAGCCCTTTATGGGCAATGTGGCTAGGAGTACATTTTATTTCTCACATGGCTTTGGTACCTGGCTCACAAATGTTTTTAGTCTTACTCCTGCCTCTATCCTGGAGCCATTTCACTTGCCACATGGACAATACAACCAATACCCCCTGGCTCTCCCCTTCAACTCTCCACTCTCCGAACCTTGTCATCACCTGGAATTCTGCCTCTTTGGTCCTCTTAAATGCAACTACCTGTGCACTTACCTACCTATACCTTCCTTTATTATGCTGTTTTTCTCAGTGTCAGTTATTTCAGAATATGCACCAGTATATCTATCACATGTGAGTTACTTACGTGATATTTACTGAATAAACCATACTAGTTCTTGGGTCTCAGTAACACTTGTGTTCACTGATCCCTCTTTTGGCCCCCAATCCATTAGCTGGATCTATCCACATTTTCACCTGTCGAATGCTGATCAGCCCTTCAGGCTAGAGCCGATGTCTTCTCCCATTAAATGTGTTGATCTCTCCCTGAATATAGAAAAAAGGGATGCACATCTAATTCACTTTGCAGTTTCAACGTTTATTTCTGATCCCAAAACTTAACAGCACACGAGGAAAAAAAAGCAACGGACAGTAACAGCAAATATATTCTCTTGCATGCCACTTTCAGTCAACAGGATGTGGCTCTCTAGATAGTTGTATTTAGAAGAAATCTGAGGCTTCAGCCTCACTCAGGGGAAGGACTATTGCAACTGATGAGCAATATCTGTGAATATAAGAAAAAGTAAAAATTCAATGATATACATTACCGAATAGTAAGGAACATAAATACCAAACAGTGCTTTCCTATACTTTCCTCATCTCCCCACCACAGGTTTCTAATATGACTCCTAGCTCATGCACATAAATGCAACCCCTTCAACCCTGTATCACCCAGTCTGCTCAACCCAAAGTGATATACCTACCCAATGCCTCACTCGACCCAGAAGAAACCAATGGCACCAAAGTTGGCAGCAAAGTTGGCAGTGGGTGTAACACCAGGACCAATAATAGGACCAGCGGGGGTTTGAGGAAATCTGGAGTGGGCATTCTGGTGGTGTCTGGTCCAGAGGGTAAATGGGATTCTGGAAGAGGGATCCCCCACATCTCCTTCTTCATCCCAAGTCAGCAGCTCAAACTCGATGTCATCCCAGCTCCAGGGCCCAGATATAGCCTCATCTCCAATGCCCATGCGGGTTCTTGCTTCAGCCCGGGCTTCAGCCTCAGCCGAAGCAGCATCTAGAGCATCCAAGGCCTCATCTGCAGCCTCCATGAACTGTGCAGTCCAGTCACGAGGGTCTCTCTTCTGAACCTGAGATGAGAAACAAAAACCAAAAACCTATTCAACAATAGCCAAGATATAGAATCAAAGTACCCACCAACAAATGAACAGATAATGAAAATGTAGTATATATACACAATGGAATATCATTCATCCTTTAGAAGAAGGAAATCCTGCCATTTGTGACAATATGAATGAAGTTGGAGGACATTATGGTGTTAAGTAGATAAACTAGAAACAGAAAGATCTCACTTATATGCGGAGTACAAAACAAGTCAGACTCATAGTAGAGCAGAATGGTGGCTGCCAGGGCCTGCGATGGAGTGGGATAGTTAAGGGCCCCTAAGTTTCAATTAGATAAGATGAATAAATTTGCAGATCTATTGTATATGATGATGACTATAGTTAACGATTATGTACTGCATATTTGAAAATTGTTAAGAGTTGGCTTTAAATGTTTTTATCACCAAAAAATGTTAAATATGTAAGGTATGTATGACAGTTACTTTGCCTGATTTAATCATTCCATAATATAGACACGTATATTATCAAAACATTATGTATAATTTTCAGTCAAAAATAAATAAATGAAAAATAAAAAAAATTAGCAGAAAAAAATCATGGCATACTTGATAGGTATATACAATTTTTGTCAATTATGCTTTAGTAAAGCCTAGAAACAACAAAAACATAAAAAATATCTGAAAAAAGGAAAAAATACAAAACCCATAATAGTATTAGTTAATACATACCAAGCACCGAATATGTATCAAGCACTTTATTTTGTGTTATTACATATAATGACAACGTATCTATGATCTCATTCCTTTTCTGGCCCTTTCCCAGCTGCTATGAGTTATGGAGCAGTTTCATTACCTCTGCAATGAACCTTAACACTTTCATCTTGCTGGTCTCATGGTAGGAACGGAGCCCCCAGAGGAACTCATACTCAGGAGGATTGCTGTTGGGCACTCGTCTGTAGTCCAGGTATCTGAAAGAGCAGAAATGTCTGTGTTACCTACCCAGGCAGAATGGTAGTCCATCCGTTAATACATAATAATCTAAGATTTTGAAATTTCTGATTTCAGGTAGCAATTCTCTTATTCTAGACTCATTCCTAACCACAACCAGGGTATTTACCCCTTAACAATCAGACTTCTGAATTTCTGTGCCAGTGATTCTACACCAGGCAATCATTCAGAGCTGTGTGACACAGTGTGTTGTTTTATAGGGAGCTTTTTTAAAATAAGAAGGAATGTACTCCACAGTGATGATTAAAAGTATACTTGATATGGCACCCAGGAACATTAACAAGGGAGGCTTGTGCTGGGTCACAGAAAGGACACCACTAATCTCACTCCCTCTAGCTCCAGATTCTTACTTGTCAATGAGCCACAGGCTCATTGTCATGATCACACCACAGTGCAAAATCCTCTACCTGGCCCAGTCTTGGGAATGTCTGCCATGAACACAGTGGGTATACTTCAGTTACTTGTAAGACAGCTATAAAACAGAAAAACTCAACCTAAAGGAGTACTCACAATAAGCACTCTTTGAGCTTCTATGAGCATACAAACAGGTGTAGCTTAAGAAATTAGCTTCAGAAGGGCTTTCTGAGGCAGACCAACATACAGAATCATGAGGACCAGAAAAAGCTCCTTAGGTATCACTTACTTCTGCTTTACAAACTCGTAAGTAAGAAGTTTTCTCAGATCTCCAAGGAGAGGATGTCTCACCCTGATAGTAACCAAAAAAAGAAAGAGAGAGAGAGAGAGAAAAAGAGAGAGAGACACTATGATTTTGCTCAAAGAAAAGCAGAGAGCTTTCCAGCGCAAGATCAGAAATGAAAAAGGAGGCAGAGAGTTTAGGACTACTTCCCCTTCCACCCAGGTCACATCCCTGGGCTCTGGGCCTCTCCAAACCAAACCCCCAAACCACCAGGTTAATGCAATCCTGGAACAATCCCATTGCCAAAGGATGATTCAAATAGGTAAGAGATGACAGAGTCTCATCATACCCAGGACGCAATCCCATCTTGCGTAGTGCCTCCCAGAGGACAGCTGCAATGGGAGGCAAGAGGAGATAAGGCACGAAAAATGAGCATGGAAATCAGGCTATGGCCAACCCCCAGCTGTAAGTCCAGCCACTCACCCTCACTGGCACGGTTGCCATTCATGAAGATGACACCCAGAACCACTAAGAGGAGACCCAGCTTGGGTGTGTCTTTGGTCCTAAAGGAGGTTAAGGATAAAAATAATGTATTTCCATCAGCCATTTGTATGAGACACCCCAGCCAGCTTACCCATCTAACTTCCCCTTATTTCTAAGTTAGGGGGAGAATTATACCCCAGCTCTGCTCACGACCCACTATGTAACACTGAACACTGCACCTTGACCTATTTGAAACTCCCGGGGGGCGGGGGGATGGATATCACTGAGAAAGGCCATGTTCCACCTCATTTCCCATCTTACGTTCCTAGTACGCCAGCCAGGGACTCAGGGGTACTGATGAGAATGTACAGGTGTTCTTCCTTGTCAATTTCTTTCAGTTGTATCCCAAATTTCTACAGGAACCCAAAAAAAATATGAGATTTAGCATAAGCAGTTACTCACTTCCTTATGAGACTTATCCTAAACCTCCAGTAGGAATTCCATAAATCTTTAAAATCAAGACTTTCTTTATCATTCCTGTCCCTCAGGGCTGCCTCCTCACCTTCTCCAGGACAAAGGATGCACGTTCAATGATTTCTGGATAAACATCAGTGTATTCTCGGATGATATCCCTCAGCATTTCTGCAGGAGAGAGGAAAGAAGACCTGGGTTAAATGGGGGCGACTCCCTGGCCACTTTGCAAACCCTGCCAAGGATAATAAGCAAAGGTCCTCAAGCATGGGAAAGGGAGAACCAGACGGAAGCAAGAGGCCAGAATGAGAAGGGATATAGTATAAGAAAAGGTATGCCCACAGAAAATAGGGAGGGGAAAGACAGAGTTTGGGGGAGGGATACTAGCTGCCTACCTGAGCGCCGGATGGGCACCTTTGTGTAGTCTTTAAGCATCAGGTACTTGACTAACTTATTTGCCTGGGAGAGAAGAAACTCATTTAAATTATAAGATATTTACAGAAAACAGTTTATTATAAATATAAGGAACACAAAAGAGAAACAACAAAAAAGTGAGAGAGAAGTAGGGAGGCATAGCTCTTACTCTTTCCTGAAGAAGGGCTGCATCTCGGGGTGGTGGGGCACCCAGGTTCTGTGAGGCACGTGAGTTGGGGGTGGGTCGGAGATTAGGCGAGGGCCGCAGGTTCTGCCGGTCAGGTGCAACTGGCCAATCTGCAGGGATCCAGTCAGGTGGAAGTGGCCATTCAGTGGGAAGTGGACACTCTGGTGGCAGTGGCCAGTTAGGAGGTAACGGCCAATCAGAAGGGCCTTGCCAGTTCGGAGGGCCGCGCCAGCCTGGTGTGTTCTGCCATCCAGGTGGAGTATGCCATCCAGGTGGATTCTGCCAAGCTACTGGGTGTGGCCAGATAACTGGGCCAGGCCAAACAATGGGGTGTGGCCAGACAACTGGACCAGGCCAAATAATGGGGCTCGGCCAGATCACTGGATTCTGCCATGCAACTGGGTTCTGCCAGGATGGCAGGGCCTGTCTAGCTGGGGGGCTCTGACGTGTTGGTGGGGCCTGCCTGCCTGGCTGGTTTTGCCAACCAGATGGGTTCTGCCAAGCCAACGGGGTCTGCCAGAGCACATTAGGGGGTGCACCAGGTGGGTTTGGAGTGGTCACTGGAACTGGTGCAGACCTCCAGGTCCCAGCAGCCAGTGGGGCCCGCCTCTGATCACTGCTGTTCTCTTCCACGTTCAAGTTATTAATCTGGAACATCAGACAAAAGAAACATCCACGGTCACTAGTTGGTTCTGTGTCTTCACCCTCGCTATTCCAAGAAACTCCCCTAAATCCTGACCTGTAATGACAGCCTGACTTACTGGCCATTGGTCACCCTGAGTCATGAGCTTATTGTTCACTGTCTTCCAGGCAGGAACTTCATCTCCAAACCAGACCAAGAGAAACCCAAGGGTGGGGCTTGTGGCTTGTCCTTTTCCTATGTCCACTAGTGGCTCTACTTACAGCACCCTGAACAAATCACTGAAGTTATTTCATCTTTCTGGGACTCAGTTTCCCTCTCTGTAAAACAGACTATGATCCCTAGCAAGGAAGATTTAATAATAAGGCCCTTAGGAGCGTGCCTAGCCCAAGACCTAACACATGGTGGCTGCTACCGAAATGTAACATGAGTTACACACAGGTTTGTTATCTGTGTGCATTTACTGTCTTCCCATCAGTTTGTGAATACTCAGCGAATACAAATAAAGGCTCACCTCAAGATCTCCTGCAGCCTAGCTGGATACAGGCAGTTACATGTACTTTTGTTTCATTTAGAAAAAATTTCATTTAGAAAAAAACAAGAAGCCTGAAGAAAAATGAAGCTAGCAGGGATCTCACCTTTCGGGCTCTCTTGCCCCTTGTCCGGGACTCCAAATTTTGAGCCAGGAAACCATCTGCTGATGTCTGTGCAGCTGCACCATCAGGTTCAAAGATACTTGCATTGGTCTGGGAAGTGGCCATTCTGGCTCGGTTTACATTGTGACTGTAGGTCTGGCTAGCAGCTACAGGGGCCTTAGTGGTATTATTCCAAGCCTTGAAGGCAGTTTGAGGTTGGTTAGCGACCATCTCATTGGCATTGGGAGACCCAGAGAAACTACTGTTGGGATATGAGCCCACCTTAGTAGTGACATCCTGGGCCTTAAATAAGGCAATCTCACAGTCACTAGTAGCCATTTCACCTGTGGCTGCTGCCTTGGAAAAATCATAGGCAGCATTTGGGCCCTTTAGAATGGCATTCTGGAGCTTAAAGGCTGCCTTGGGTCGGGTACTGGCTAATTCCTTGGCATTATGGGCCTTAGCAAAATCGTTGACATCATTAGGGTCTTTTGTGGTGGCATTCCGGGCTTTAAAGGCTGTTTTAGGCCTTGTGGCAGCTGCTGAAACTTGAACATCAGCCATCTCATTGGCAGCTGGGGGCTGTGAACACTGGGGACTAACATTCTGCCCACTGACAGCTGCCACGGCCTGGCTGGTAGGTGGAGCTTCTGAGATCTGGATCGCCTCCATCAAGTTCTGCATAAGTAAGGTGCGTTCTTCTACAGAGGCCTCAGCCTGTAAATACAGGAGGAGGGGGAGGGAATAAATCTGTGGGCCTCAGAAGCTGGAGCCGGAGAGGCGCAGCACAGCAGGAGAGTTGCAGGTAGTGGTTGGTGCAAACGCAGAAGGACCCAGACAGAGTAGGGGGCACACAAGGGTCGAAGTGGGGAGGTAGATATAAACCGTGCTCAGGAAGGCTGAGGGAAGGGACAAGAAGGACTAGGCGGTGTGACACGAACTGGAGCAGGGTAGGGGCACTGAAGGAGAAGTGGGCTTTGGGTAGAGCCAATGAGGCTTGCTGTGGGAGCTCAGGACTTGAGGCAGAGTTGTGGGGGGGTCGCACAGGCTGGGGAATGTAGGAGAAAGGGAGGGTGGAGTCAGGAGCTTGGGAAAGGGGGCAACCCACTGCTCCACAGAAGTTGGGACTGTGGAAAAAATTGGTTCCTTATCAACCCACATTCTCTAGGCAAATTGCCCTGACTACTAACAGGGTCTCCTCTCTCTCTAAGCAGGGACTGCTGGTTGAAAAGGGACGCCCCTCCCCCTTCCACAAACGCTGAGAATTTTATAAAAAAAAAGACGAAGTCTAGGCACGCTAAAACGACAAATCCTGGCGACTGGGCAACCAAAGGGGCCCGAGGGCGGGGGGTACCGTCTGCTAAGGAAATGGTGGGGGCAGGGAACAAAGATCTCACCTGGAAGCCGAGGAGCCCCGCACCACAGTCCATTTTCTGAGCCATGGCTCCGGTCCCTCTGGCTAGAGCGGAGCCTAGGGGTTGTGGGAAAGGAGCTAGGTGTTATACTTCAGAAGGTAAATACAGGGGACTAACTGTGCGCGCGCGCGTGTGTGTGTGTGTGTGTGTGTGTGTGTGTATGCAAGCACGTGTGGTTTGATTGTGGGGGCTGATGAGGTACGTGCTGGATACGTAGAGAAACGGGCTGGGTCGGAGCGGGAAAACTGAACCGGCGGCCTAATGATTCTTAATCTTGAGAGGCTGACAGGGAAAAGCTTCAAATCGGGGGTGGGGAGACCAAAGAGTTCTGAAGCCAGGTAATGGGGCTTGGGATTTGTATTTGGGAAGTTGAATGGAGGTTTTGAATGAAGAGGAGCCTTTTAACCGTACATACTATGGTTCACAAATCCGTGAAAATTCTGTAAGGAACGACGGGAGGGAGTGGACAAGGGTTCAGAGAGAACTGGGGTTCCAAATCAGGAAGGGTCGGGTGGGGGATGTGAATCAGGGTACAGGCAGCAGAAGGGAGTTCACAATCCTAGGTAAAGGGACCAGAATAAAAATTGGGAAAAGTACCGTAACAAGGAGCAAATGTCCTATCTGTGGGCTAATCTCACCTTGCCTCAGGCCCCAACCCTAACCCCCTCGTTGCCTCCCTTCTTCACGACTCAGAGGACCGGGATTGCTGGGCTGGGCTCTCAGCAGCCGTACTCTTTCCTTCACCAGGAGAAAATGCCAACGCGGCAGCTTAGTCGACCCCGCCTCTTAGATTAATATACCACCCACCGCCTCAGGCCTCCGCACGCATGCGCAAGCGCTACCGGTTCAAAAGAGTCGCGCCTGCTTTCCCAACAAAAGCGCCAATCCGGAGACCACAATGCGCATGTGCATTGGAAGGAGGCCCCGCCCCTTTGCCAACACATCATCCCACCACCGACCAGGTCGACAATGTTCAAGGGTTCCTCCCTGTCCTCTGCATCCCCTCCCCCAACAGATGCACCGTGCCCCACACACTGGCTCCCTAGGTTTCCCCAATGGATCTCTTTTCTGTCCCTCTTCTACTCAAGTCCTTTCCAGTCAGGTCCACAGAAACCTCCACCCCCCTTGAATAGCAGCAACCACTTAGGTCACTATTAAGGTGGTTTCTGTGTGGGGGTGGGTCGGTAGGGGGGTTTCTAATGGCAGTAAGTGCTAGACTTCTGCTAAATTCATCCACTTGGCAACCAAGGAAACAGAAAGCCCAGGAGACTACATGCTATAGGGGTAGTAAAGTAACTGCGTGGCACGTGGCTCTACATGTTCCCCCTCACTATGTCCCAGACTCAGAACATTAGCTTCTCTACAGTCCTTTCTGCAGTTACTGCCATGGAAACATTTACTGTGGGGTGGAGAAAGAGCAGACAGAAAGGTACAGCTTGTACCTCATAGCAGGATCTGTGTTGAGGCTTGTCTGTCTCTCACAACAGATCGGAAAAAGGGATGTCAACATCCACATTTCACAGATAAGAAAGCTGAGGCATAGACACAACCCATGAACCAGATAAGAGCCCTGGGCCAGTAAACAGGAAATGCAAAATTTGGGTCTGAGATCCTGATTAAAAGAGCCCATGGCAGGGCTGGGGATTTAGCTCAGCAGCACAACGCCTGCCTGGCGAGGGCGAGGTCCTGAGTTCGATTCCCGGTACTGGGGAAAAAAAAAAAAAGAACCCATGCAGTGGCCGCGGATTTAGCTCAGTGGCGCTGCACCTGCCTGGCAAGCATGAGGTCCTCAGTTCCATTCCCAGTACACTCCCCACTCCAAAAAAAGGCTACATTTTGCTAGTGCCGGCCGGTAAATCAAGGTACCCTCTCTTTTTCTGAATGACTGGCCTTCCTCATCCCAGTATCTGCCCCAAACAAGCAAGATTTGTTCTCTAGGAGGCCTACATCACCCTCTGAGCTCTATGTGGGCCCATCCAGGTGTGGGACTTGCTCCGTGGGGTCCACTCTGTTTCCACTGTCAGACCTCTCCGCTATCACAGATACCATCACACTATCTACCCCCATGTCCTTCCTGGTGCCCAGTGGAGCTGCCGGAACAATCAGGTGCTTGTGTGCATGCTCCGTGGCAGGCCCCGGTTCCTTCCAGGGCTGGAGCCTGGGGAAGCCCCAATCTTGTGGAAAGCAGCTGCGCTGAGCTTCACAATTCCAGGGTGAAGCGCCCAGCCTGTCTGTCCCTGGCTGTGTGAGCTGCCTTGGGTCAGTCAACATCACTCAACTGGTTTCTCAATATGCAAAATGGGAAGCACAGTCAGTGGGTCCTACCCAAGAACACACAGGCTACTTGCTGTGCTTCCAGGACTGGAGAAATGCAAAAAGAAAAGGACACATGGATGTGAGGTAAGTTTAATTGAACTGATACTTTTCCAAAATCCCAGGTAAATCCCTGTGCATTTGTCACTTGTTCTGGCACGAGCTCCTGCCAGCAGCCTGTATATGAAAGGAAGCTAATGCTAGGAGGAACTGCAGCATGTACTTCCCAAGGGCCAACAGCCATTCTGCCTGGCTGGATGACTTTCCTCATCTGTTGCATAGCAACCTCCTGTCAGCTGCCTGATTTTCCTCAGCACTTCCTCTATACAGTGTCTGCAGTGGGACGTGATCGGACTCAAGAAAGGAGGTCTGAAACACCACTTTATATGCTATCTCTTCCATATCTGTATCTCCAGTCCTTCCCTTGGCCTCTGAATTCTAAACATGTAACCCAACTGCCTATCTATACTCTCCAAATAGATATCTCTCAGTATTCTGAAAGTTAGCAAATCCCAGATTGAGTCCCTTGTAAATATCCTTCTCCCCACCATCTATGTCCTTTGGTTATACCACTGTCTCCACATTAGAATGTAAGCTTAAGGAGACAGATTGCTGTCTGTTTTACTGTGGTATCCCTAGTGCCTAGAACAATACCTGGTACATTTTATGTGCTCACTAAATATTTGTTTGATGAATGAATCACTGTCCACCCAATTGCTAAAGCAAGAAACCTGAAAGACACTATTTTGTCCTGTGATAAATCTACTTATTTTCATCATATCAATAATACATATTCATTACTGAATTGCATAATTAAAAATTCAAATATTATCTAAGAATTTTAGAAATTAATAAATTATTCCAAATCTCAAACTTTGAAATAATTGCCAAGATTTTATGCAACATTTTCATAAACTACAAAATAGTTTTATGCATATATATTTGTTCTTACATCAGTGGGATGATAAATATGTCACAAATATTTTAAACTGCCTTCTTTCTTAACTCCTACATTTGCCTCCCAGGCATGCATTGTTAATAACATTTTTTTATCTTTTCATGCTCAATAAATAATGTTTTACTGCTTTGCAAAAATTACACAGTATATAGACGTTTATGCATTTGATCTTATTTAATAGTAATCTGCCTCTGATTTATTCTTTTAAATGGGTGCATCACATTCCATGATAAATATGTACTACAATGCATTCAAACATTGCCCCAGGCAGGCATTCCTTTCAGTTTTAAGATTTTTGAAAAGAGGGGAACATACAAATAACATTCACTGTAATCAAAATACCTATGCACACATCTTTATTTTAATTTGTAAGTATTTTTTAATTTCTGGTTATACCACATGTCTAAAATATACTCTATATGGCTTGGTATTATAAAACCTGTCCAAATTTTTGCCAACCTGACATGTACTGTCATTTCCTTGTGATTTTGAATTATATTTCTTATACATAATGTCATTGAACAGTTTTATTAGCAATGGACATATTAATTATTTTGTGAAGTGCATGTGTAAGTCTTTCACTTATATTTTGTTTGGGTTGTCTTAATCTTACTGACTTTCAGAAGTTCTATATACAGTCCTACAGGTCTTATTGAAAATTCTTGGGGCCAGATGTATTTCAATTTTTCACATTTTAATAGGGTAATATAGCATATATACTTCATATTACACAATAGTGCCAATTGTAAATGCAACGAAGGTCAGATATTAACTTCTTCACCTGGCCTCGGCAGTGGTGAGAATGTGATCTAGGATTTACCAGCAAGGCGAGCTCCCAAAGATTACTCCTGGAGGCAGTGATTCACTGGAAGGACTCACAGAACTGAGAAAATGTGTTACAGACATGACATGGTTTATTATGGTGAAAGAATACAGATTAAATCAACAAAGGGTAACTTACATAAGCAGAGTACAGAACAGAGCAGGTATGGGTTTCTAGTCGTCCTCTCTGAAAGAGTTTGAGCTAACTTCTACCAATGATATATGAAAACATACAGAGCTGGGCACAGTGGCACACACCTGTAATCTGAGCACTTGGGAGGCTGAGGCACGATGACTGCCATGAATTCCAGACCAGCCTGGGCTACATAGTGAGTTCAAGGCCAGCCTGGACTACATAGAGACCCTATCTCAAAGAAACAAACAAACAAAAAATGCAAAACGTTTTGTCAACTAGAGAAGTTCACCCAAGCCTTGGTGCCCAGTAATTTTATTAAGGGTCAGTTGGACAGGTATGCATGGAGAATCTGCATAGCTGACCTTCGTTTTTCAGTCTCCAGACTATCCAGAGTCAAAACCAAGACCTTGCAGCTGAACCTCCCACCATAAACCATACTGTTAGCATTAACTGTTTATTATGGCTCAAGGCTCTAAGCAAACAAAAGCATAATATTCTAAGCGTTTACAGGTTATCTCCCAAGAGCCAGATCTTTTTTGTAAAAGGCATTTTTTTTTTTTTTGGAATGCCAGGGTTTGAACATTCTAGATCTGGTGAGTCAACCTCTTCACTGCAGTCACAATTTTCACCTAACACTTTGAAAGGAGGGATTTAAAAAATCCAGATGGGGCGGTGGCACATACCTGTAATCCCAGCACTTGGGAGGCTGAAGCAGGAAGACTGCTGTGAATTTGACATCAGCCTGAGCTACATAGTAAACTCAAAGCCAGCCTGAACCATACAATGAGACCCTGTTTCAAATAACCAAACACCCCCAAAAACAAACAAAACAAAACAAAACAAAAAAATCCCAGCACCAAAAAACCTCCAGCAATATGGAATTCACTACCATAGCTGTGGGGGGGGGGGCAACAGTCACAAGAAAACAGAATTTCTAGGGACAGAACTGGTAACAGAGCCAGCGCTCAATGTCTAGTGTTTAGTGTTAGCACCAGTGGTATCCAACCAGCTATTATTTAAGACATGATTTTGAAAACAGAGCTGTTTTCCAGCTGCTTTTAGAATTATTTTATTAATTCTACTACTTTTAAAGTTTTAGAAACCATTTAATTTTGAAATAGAGATACACAAGAAATTGCAAAGATATACCTTTCATCCACTTCAAATGGTTGTATCTATGCAACTGCAATACAAAATCTAACTGATTATAATGACACTGATACAACATGCATATATAGTCTTTTTTTTTTCTTTTGGTACAGGGAATCAAACTTAGGACCTTCTGCTTGCCAGGCAGGTGCTGTGGCACTGGCGCATATACAGTTATATCCCCGGCTCATATACAGTTCTATGTCACTTTAAAGTATCTCTTATCACTACAACAGTCAAGATATAAAACCAGTACATCACCACCAAGATTTCCCCTTTTGAAGTCCCACCAGAAGGGAAGCTGCGGACTAAAAATGGCGGATGGAAAGGCGGGAGAGGAGAAGCCTGAGAAGCCCCAGCAAGCTGGAGCCTCCAGAGTAATGGAGAGGAAAGTTTCCGTTGCGGC